GGGTCAGAATCAACCCCCATTGTGCTGTATGGCCCAGCGCTCTCTGCTGGGGACAGAATCAGCCCCCAATGTTTTTCAGGCCCCCCGCAATGCCAATTACTATGGGGGAAGCTGACATCTTGCCTGCTGGACAGAAGCTGCCAGTATTAATGTCATAGGACGGAGAGGCACAAAATCTAAGCCCTCGTCTACACTACAGAGTCAGGTCGACGTAAGCCTGCAGCCGATGTAAGTCCCCCACTACCCCGACCTAACCCCCCCTCCCTCTTTGCAGGAGGCACAGCGCTTAGGTGGGTGTAGCTAGGGCGGCTCAGTGTCCATGTAGACACGGTGTTGTTTACATCGCCTGTCAGCACCACGCGGAGCTTGCAGCTGTGAACCCCGCTGACGGGCGCGGACAGCCCGGGCTCTGGGCTCCACACGGCGGTGTCAGTGCCCGGCAGCAGGGCTCCAGCTGTGAGCCCCCACACACTGCCCCACTTCAGTTGACGCAAGCACTCCTGATGAGGACGCGCACCATCGGCAGAAGGAGTGTCGTGTGGACATGGGGGACACCACTGCGCTCCAGGGCCTCTTCCAACTTCACAGCAGCAGCTTCAAACCCACTAGCACAGCGGTTTTCAACCTTTTCCTTTGCGGACCCCTACAAAATTTCGACTGGAGGTGCAGACCCCGTTGAAAATCTTAGACACGGTCTGCGGACCCCCGGGGGTCCAGGAACCACCGATTGAAAAACATCACACGTGACTAAATGTTACCAGTGTGGGGCCTCTGACTCACAGCGGAGCAGTTCTGATTCTGCCCAGCAGAGAGCAGCGCTATTCACACACACCAGCTAGCAAGAGAGCCAATGCCATCGTCATCTGAAATATAAAACTAATAATAAACGGCAGGGACCGTCTCTTACTCTACATTCTACGGCGTCCGGCCCAATTATTCATCTGTAGTATGGTAGGACCTAGCAGCCGCAGCCACGGACCACAACGGGGCCTAGATTTCAGATGTAGCCTCTAGTAGCAACCACACTACACATCATAATAAAGTCCCAACTTTTCCCCCTCTGCTTCCCTCCCAGTGCATTTTGTCTTTCCAGCGTCTCCTGCTTCGTGAGGAGACGCTGGGGCGAGGCACTGTCTGTCTAGGGCAGTGGTTTTCAACCTTTTTTCATTTGCAGACCCCTAAAAAACTTTGACTGGAGGTGTGGCCCCCTTTGGAAATCTTAACCACAGTCTGCGGACCCCCAGGGGTCCATGAACCACCGTCCCAGTGCGTCTCGCACAGCTCAAATGACAATATCAATCCATAACGGACACTGATTCATCCAACTTCACCAAGTTTCCTTTATCCTGCTTCCTTGGGTCAATGAAATCAACACTGATTCCTAGGGTGACCAGACAGCAAGTGTGAAAAATCGGGATGGGGATGAGGGGTAATAGGAGCCTATATAAGGAAGAGACCCAAAAATCGGGACATCTGGTCACCCTACTGATTCCCTCCAGGTTTGGGGCCTGGGGTCTTTACATTACAGTGCCTTTGATCAGACTGGCTCCTCCACCCCTCCTGAGTGACCTCCACACAGGCTGGTCCTGCTCAGAGCTCATTCATTGCAAAGCCAGGATCTGTGCA